GAATATGTCATAATTATAGAACAGATTACTAAGATTGAAAATCATATTACAGTGTCAATCAGTGATTTGACGCAAGTGCATGCGTCAGGCGAGGGAGAGTGAGATCACTGATATCATACTTTACTCAAGAAATTCTGTCATATTATACCCATGTGGATTTGAATGGAGCATGAATTAAAGAGGTTTATTTGTCATGGAAGGCCTTACGAAAGGTACTGTGTGCATCTTATTGGTCAATCCGTGATGCAAGGGTAGAATCAGATATCTGAGGATGAATGGAAGGATTTATGAAACAAAATTGCTGGACACAGAAAGGTTTAGGTAATGATGAGAAAATAATGTACTTCATCATGCTTATAGTGAAACTATTTGCCATTTTCTTAGGAAAAATCGGTTGTTTTGTGTGAAAGAAGACTGCAATATGTGATACTTTTTGTTATTGGAAAACTTGTGCATGGAGTTTAAGAAAATGGCACAAACACAAATATACGAATTACTAGAGTGCAGAGCGATGTCTGTCAGCCTGCATATTCCTCTCAACTCAGAAGTTTTGTGGCTATACCATAAACATGTTGATACCGAGTCCACCTTTAGGTAATAACTAGGTCAATTTTCTCAAGTACAACTGTCAGTCATTCAGCGCTTTCTTAATTTGTGCCACTTCTATAGGAAGTTACAATGATAGAAGGTGATTATCTTCTACACTTCCTGCTGTCATAGTGGTGCTGTTAAATCAAATATGTTGCAAGTGATTAATTAAAAATGTGGCAATTGAACACAAATTTTCTCCTGTCATCAAATTTTGCTGCCACTTTGTGAGTTGAAGCACAGCCCTCAGAACGGGGCTTCTGTTTCCACAAACAACTTTCTCTTAGTTCATACATCAAGTCTCTTTCTGAAGTTGATTTCCCGAACCAGACCTTGTGATTCAACTATTTGTTCAGAACTTAGATTTCTGAACCATATGGTTTTGTTCAGAAGTTGATAGCCAAACCTAAAAAAAAGTGTGAAATGAGGTATGTGGTGTGTGAAAATAGAAGCTCACAAACAGCCTCATGGTCCACCAAATGGCGATTCTCGTCATGAATGGTCCAGATGCCATTGGACCTATCAAATGTCTACTGACAGGATAGAATTTTAGAATTGTGGGCCTACTAGCCAGTAGTAAATGTCCTGCCAATCTTGTTAGACTGAATTTAGATTTGAAGCATAAAAATTAATAAGTTGATAGTCCTTTGGTGTATACTTTGTGGGGCATTTGTACACCCTCTCTTTCCAAGTTGTATTCAAGCAGTAAAGGTTATATGTATGTTAACAGGGGAACTTCAGCGACCAACAAAAAAACCAAGAATCCGTCCTAGTAGAAAGATTGATGAGAACTCAAAGACGGTTTGTCTTCTCATCTAAGTTTTCTTGATTCCTTATTGCTGATTCTCATGTATTCTGCAATTGTATCATTCTTATACTCTGATTGTTTGGGCGAAAAATGTTCTCTATTGTTAAGAGATGAAAAACATTTTACATATTACAAGTCTTACCAATACAACTACACTACCGCCACCCCCGCCAACTCCACCGCACTACCTCCACCTCCACCCTGCTGCCAGTGCATTCACCACCCATACCATTACTAATGCAACCACCAGTACATTACATTAGTTTAAAGGGTGCAACCAAGCATAGGAAAATGCTTTCTACGCAAAACATTTAATGGCAAAAGTTTCCAATAGGAAAATATTTCATGCAACAAATTTAGCGTGAATCGTATTTGAATTTGCCTAACTGAAATGACAATGTCTTGCAGTTCAAAAGTCAACTCCAATCTGTTGCTATTGATGGGACAGACATAATAGTTGCAACATGAGATGCATACGAGAAATCATTAGCTAAACTAGAAGCTAAAGATGCAGCAGCAAAGGCAGCTGCCAAAAGAAAGGAAGAAAGAGTGGCACAACTAAAAAAAATTAGGGGGGAGATATGGCTACCTTCAATTGCAAGAGATATGCAGGTAAAATTTAAAGGTTGTTTGTGGGGACATAAAATTTTGAATAACGACACGTGGTCGAGGTGTCTCCGAAGTGCCAGCCGAGGTGCCACATGTCCTGGTCATGACGCCGAGGTGATCTCGGCAAGGCCGAGATTATCCCCGAAGATACCGGAATCTGAGATAAGCGGATAAGGGACAAGAGTCCTAGAATGGGAGAAGACTTCAGTTTGGGTAAAGATGAAACTCTTAGAGAGTTTATCCTAATTCTACTGGGAGTTCAAGGTTAGCAGTAATCTTAAGTCCATTAGAGCTAGGCTCCTATTGGGACTAGGATTGTGTTGGTTATAAAATGGAGGCACCCCCATGGGTCTAAGGTATGCTTTTGATATTCTGTCTAGTGAGTCAAGCACTATTGGTTATCTTTGAGAGATATTAAGTACTGACTTGATCGTCGGAGTGCCCCCAGGTGGACGAGCCACCGCCGGAAACTCTTCTTTTTGTTACAGGTCGTTCGGGCTTAATCTATTCTGTCGGTGCTCTCCAGCTGGGTACCTGTTTGGTAGTGTGGTCAGAAAATCACCCACACAATCTGGCGCCGTCTGTGGGAACGAAAGGAGAATAGATGGCCAACGACAGACCGAAAGAGAAGGTTGGGGACGACACCCCTACTGAGAGTGGGAAACATATTGACCTTGGCGTCGAAGAAGACAACTACAACGAAGAAACTCGTGATAAGAATCATGGAGAAGAGGACGTCGGCCAGGAGGGCGACGTGCCGAAGAAATCAGACCGAAGCAAGCATTATAAACGAGGACGACCTCCAAGTATAGAAAGAAAGATGCTTACGAAGGGATGACGAGATGAAGGGAATGGCGCACAAATTGGCGGACCTGCAAACAGTTGTCAATTTCATGATACAGAACAACGTCATGCAGCCACCGTTCCCGTTACAAGATACGCCGATTCCAGCAGCCAAGAAAGATGCCCAGGCAGGGGGGCAGAAAACGGTTCCTACAGTCCTTCAGCATGGCGGGACCAAGGGACATTCTCACCGGCCTTCGCGAGAGGTCGGGCATGGAGAATCCCAGAAGACACAATCTTGGCCTAGATGATTAGGTCCGAGAAGAGAAGAGCTCAGCCTAAAATGAGCAAATCCCAGATTCCAGAAGACAAGATCTCGACCTAGATGATTAGGTCCGAGAAAAGAAGAGCTCAACCTAAAGTGAGCAGATCCTAGATTCCAACAAACAAGAGACCGAAATCATTGTTTAACACTTGTTGAAATTTGTGGACAATTTACAAGTTGACGTACCGAAATCATTGTTTAACACTTGTTGAAATTTGTGGACAATTTACAAGTTGAAATTAAACCGAGAGCATTGTTTAACACTTGTTACAAGTTGAAATTAAACCAAAATCATTGTTTAACACTTGTTGAAATTTGTGGACAATTTACAAGTTGAAGTTAAACTGAGAGCATTGTTTAACACTTGTTGAAATTTGTGGACAATTTACAAGTTGAAATTAAACCGAGATTATTGTTTAACACTTGTTGAAATTTGTGGACAATTTACAAGTTGAAGTTAATCCGAAATCATTGTTTAACACTTGTTAAAATTTGTGGACAATTTACAAGTTGAAGTTAAATCGAGAGCATTGTTTAACACTTGTTGAAATTTGTGGACAATTTACAAGTTGAAGTTAAACCGAAATCATTATTTAACACTTGTTGAAATTTGTAGACAATTTACAAGTTGAAGTTAAACCGAGATCATTGTTTAACACTTGTTGAAATTTGTAGACAATTTACAAGTTGAAGTTAAACTGAGATCATTATTTAACACTGATTGAAACTTGAGAAAAGTTTACAAGTTGAAGTAAGACAAAGGATATGTCTTATACTTGTTGAAATTTGTGATAAATTTACAAGTCAGGGCTAAGGTTGTATCAAATTAAAGTACTTGGGTACTTACCGAGGTAAAACATCAGTTTGTATAACCGAGGTGTATTACCCCGAAAAGATTGCACGAGGATTGAAGTATGGAGGCATACAAAGCAAGCATGCAAGCATTCAAAAGCAAAAGAGTTGTTGTATTAAAAACACATCGGCAATGTGAAGAGTTTACATTACTTCAAAAAGAAAACAAAGTACAATCCAGTGAGGGAAAGACGCATGACTAAAACGGTTGGGTTGCTGTGCGTGATAGCTTTCACGCGTGATGACACTCTTAGAGTTTTTGATTTAATGAAACAAATACCTCGGCTAGGAGGACGGTTTCGGTTGAAAAACTTGGACGAACTTGGTTGTTGGTTCCAAAGTATTGATGAAAGCAGATTATAGGTCTTGGTCATATTGAGCTGACGAGTTTTGACTTCGGCAACAAATAATGGAGTAAGCTTAGCCGATGTGCTAAATTCGAAGAAATGATATAGGTTCCATCACCTCAGGATGCCGAGGTAATAGAACCTAGAGAGCAGTTGTGGGGACATAAAATTTTGAAAAACGACATGTGGCCGAGGTGTCTCCGAAGTGCCAGCCGAGGTGCCACGTGTCCTGGTCATGACGTTGAGGTGATCTCGGCAAGGCCGAAGTTATCCCCGAAGATACCGGAATCCGAGATAAGCGGATAAGGGACAAGAGTCCTAGAATGGGAGAAGACTTCAGTTTGAGTAAAGATGAGACTCTTAGAGAGTTTATCCTAATTCTACTGGGAGTCCAAGGTTAGCAGTAATCCTAAGTCCATTAGAGCTGGGCTCCTATTGGGACTAAGATTGTGTTGGTTATAAAAGGGAGGCACCCCCATGGGTCTAAGGTATGCTTTTGATATTCTGTCTAGTGAGTCAAGCACTATTGGTTATCTTTGAGAGATATTGATTACTGACTTGATCGTCGGAGTGCCCCCGGGTGGACGAGCCACCACCGGAAACTTTTCTTTCTGTTACAGGTCGTTCGGGCTTAATCTATTCTGCCGGTGCTCTCCAGCTGAGTACCTGTTTGGCAGTGTGGTCAGAAAATCGTATTTGAATTTGCCTAACTAATATGACAATGTCTTGCAGTTCAAAAGTCAACTCCAATTTGTTGCTGTTGATGGGACAGACATAATAGCTGCAGCATGAGATGCATATGAGAAATCATTAGCTAAACTAGAAGCTAAAGATGCAGCAGCAAAGGCAGCTGCCAAAAGAAAGGAAGAAAGAGTGGCACAACTGAAAAAAATTAGGGGGGAGATATGGCTACCTTCAATTGCAAGAGATATGCGGGTAAAATTTAAAGGTTGTTAATATATACTTGGCTGGAATTTTGATGTTCTTATAGTTGTTAGGTACAGTCATCTGATCCTTAATTCTCCATTTTTTTCCAGCAGAAATTCTGTCTCTCTCATATTTTTAAAGGATGCAGAATAGAAACCATGTGGTATGTCGAGCAAAGGGAAAATAGGAACCCAGTTATGTGAAAGTATTGTTAAATTAAGAATTCATCTTCTCTTCCAGTTCACAGATCCAAACACCTGCACACTAAAAAAAAATTTCACACATATTTCTGCCATATATGTATATATATGCATTACACACACACACACACACACACACACACACACAGAGACCTGAGCGAGAAGGGGTGCTGGTGCGGAAACGAAGGGGAGAGAGGATAGATCTGCGTTGGAGTATGAGATCGATCATGAAGATGAGATTCATCATGAAAATGAGATCGATTGAAGTTGAAGATCTTAGATCTCCATTGAAGTCCCAGACGATTGAAGCTGAAGATCTTAGATCTCCATTAGAGTCTTCGACAGAGAGCCCTAGACAAAGAGAAGAGAGAACAGATCGAGAGCATGCATTTGACAAATTAGGGCGAGATGATGAGATTTTATTTGCCTATTATTGAGACGACCAAAATTTGGTCTCTAATGGCATGTTTGATTGGAAGGATTAAAGCATAGGATTGGGATTATTAATCCGTGGGCCCAATCATCCTATGTTTGTTTTGACATTTTAGTTTAGGATTATTAATCCAATGGATAATTAATCCAACAAATTTGTAGGATTATTAGTAATGGGGTAGGGGTGGGATAACTAATACCACACTAATTTAATAGGATTATTAATACCTCACTATTAGTGTTGTGAATCAAACATGGCCAAACTGTTAAGATGTTGAGTTAAAATTTCGACTTGGAAATTGTATTTCTAGTGATGGAAAATACTCATGATATGAAAGGGGAGTCACCCATCCTTATATAGAGGAGAGAAGAGGGCCAGATAAACTCTATCAGAAGAATTCCTAATCCATCAAGGTTTCCTTCTTATCTTAGAAGAGTGATTATATTAAAATTCTAATTACTGAACTTTATATATAATATTGACTTTATCTAATTGTGGAGTCCAAATAAAATAAAACATGTAAGAATATGTAGGCTATTGGGCCACACTAGAAAATAAATCCAACATTCTCCCACTTGGCCCATTAAGCTGATTATGATGCAATTATAAGTTTTTCCAAAAAATATGCAACTTATAAAAATTTTGACTCATTGGATTCCACACTAAAAACTTTAACACATGATCACGAATTTTAAAAATAGCCAATAAGTTCAGATATATTAGAAACTAAAATACTGTGATTACTTCAGATCACCAATGTGAGTCATAGCAGTTATACAACATTTATGTCATATTTCCTTCTATGCACTACACCATTGATAACCTTCACCAACCCAGTCCTTTATCGGGATATATAATTATTTGCCTGAAAGGCCCCTGTAATTTGTCTTGTTAAGACATTTCCTGTTTATCAATATTCTATTTAATGTGTACACACACTTTTAGAAACAGGAAAATTAGAAACAAATTATTATTGTGCAAATAGTGTCTAATAAAAATAAGCACTCACAATTAACCATACACATCAAGGGTTGCTTAAAAGACCCATGTTGATAACATGCTCTTTGTATGTCTTTGGTGGCAATCCCTTTGTGAATGGATCAGCAATCATAAGAGAGGTGCTTAAGTTTTCAATTACACTTGTTGTTCCTGAACTCTTTCTCTAACGACTAAGTACTTTACTTCCATGTGTTGGGAACCACTAGAGTACTTTCCATTCTTAGAGAAGAAAACTGCTGTGGTATTGTCACAATATATCTTCAGGGGTCTGGCAATTGAGTCAACAACACCAAGTCTTGAGATGAAATTTCGCAACCATAAAGCATGATTTGTAGCCTCAAAGCATATGGAATGTCCTTCATTTGTTTTCTTTCCAAGTCATTCCTTGGACACTGTTTTTCACTTAATTTATCACCCTTCGTGATGGGTGCATCACCGGCTGAACAAAACTGCATATTGAATCTCTCCAAAACACGATCAATATATCATTTTTTAGATAGTTCTAGCAATCCTCGAGATCGATCCCTAAAGATCTCTATGCCAATAACATCGTTTGCCTCACCCATATCGACCATTTTAAAGTTCTTCGAGAGATATTCCTTGGTTTCATGCAATAAGCCAAGATCATTACTAGCTAACAAAATGGCATCCACATATAGCACTAAAATAATGAACTTGCTCCCACTAACCTTCAGATATATGCACTAATCAACTACATTTTTCTTAAATCCGAAAGAGATAATGATATCATTAAACCATAAATACCATTGCTTGGAAGCTTGTTTAAGGCCATATATGGATTTCTTTAATTTGCAAGCTAAATATTCTTTACCTTTCTTTACAAATCCTTCTGGCTGCTCCATATAAATTTCTTCATCCAAATTCCTATTTTAAAAAAGCAGTTTTCACATCCATTTGATGCAACTCTAAGTCGTAATGAGCTACCAATGCTAGGATGATTTTAAGCGAGTCCTTCTTAGATACTGGAGAGAAGGTCTATGTATAGTCTATGCTTTCTTTTTGAGTAAAACCCTTGGCAACAAGTCTGGCTTTAAATCGTTCGATATTGTCTTTTGCGTCACGCTTGGTCTTGAAGACCCATTTACACCCGACCTTTTGGCAGTTATTAGGCAATTCGACGAGATCCTAAACACTATTATATTCCATGGATTTTAACACTTCATTTATAGCATTGACCCATTTAGAAGAATCATCACTATTCATGGCTTGTGAAAAATGAGACTAGATTTTTGTTAATCCCAATATCAAAATCAGATTCCTGTAGATACACCATGTAATCATCTAGAATGGCAGGCTTTCTTTCCCTCTGAGATCTTCTCAGAACTTCCGGTTGTGGTGGTTCTACAATATTTTCAATGGTGGTATCTTTAGGAAGTGGTGCAACATGAGGTGCTGAAGGATTTTCATTATGTTGTTCGTTTCTCTCAGCCTGTGGAAAAGTTTAAGGTACAACAATTTTTTGATAAGGGTCAAATGTTGGGACATCCACCCTAATTTCCTTGAAATTCACCACTCGTGTTTTCTCACTCCCACTAATTTCACCATTCTCTAGGAATCTAGCATTACCAGTCTCCAGGAATCTAGCATTACCAGTCTCCACTATCCTCGTACTGTGATTAGGACAATAAAATTTGTACCCTTTAGACTTGTTTGGATAATCAATGAAATATCCAAATATTGTTCTTGAGTCCAACTTTTTCTTTTGTGGGTTGAAGATTCTTGCCTCTGCTGGACAACCCCAAATATGTAAGTGTCTCAAACTAGGTTTCCTACCAGTCCACAACTCAAAAGGAGTTGTTGGGGCCGCTTTACTAGGAACCCTATTTAAGATATACATTGCAGTCTTTAAAGCTTCACCCCACATTGAAATAGGTACAATTGAGTAACTTAACATACTCCTAACCATATCTTTAAGTGTACGATTATGCCTTTCAGCAACTCCATTTTGCTGTGGCGTATTAGGCATTGTATATTGAGCACAAATGCTTTTCTTTTCTAAGAATTTGGCAAATGGGCCAGGATTTTGGCCTGACTCATCATATTTACCATAATATTCACCACCACTGTCTGATCTCACTATTTTAACCTTTCTAACTAATTGTCTCTCGACTTTAGTTATGTACACCTCAAGGATGTCAACAGCCTGAGACTTTTCATGAATTAGATACACATATCCATAACGTGAGAAGTCATCTATAAATGTGATAAAATATTTTTCACCACTAAGACATGGGATGTTGAGTAGCCCGCAAATATCTGTATGAATTATCTCAAGAAGCTCATTACTTCTTGTGGCACCTTTCTTGATGCGTTTGGTTTGCTTTCCTTTAATGCAATCCACACATATCTGAAAATCAATGAAGTCTAGGTTTTCCAAAATCCCATTCTTCACCAATTTTTCAATTCTATTTCTAGAGATATGCCCCAGCCGTCTATGCCACAAGATTGAGGATTTTCCATTAATTAGACCACGTTTTAAACCAATATTCGAATGCAGAGTTACTAATGATTGTGCAAACTCATGATTTAAGGTAATTTTATATAAACCATCACATAAATTACCATAACCAATCACTTTTGAATTAAACATTAAATTGAGTTTTCCACAATTAAATAAAACTGAATATCCAACACAATCTAATTTGGATAACGAAACTAAATTTCTAGAAATTAAAGGAACATAAAAAGTGTCTTCTAGATCCATCTGATGACACATCTCTAAGATCAGTCGATAGGTTCCTACAACTACGACTTCAGCTTTGAGGCGGTTCCCCATATAAACAAATCTTTCACTTTTCTTCAGTTTCCTAGTTAAAAGGTATCCCTGCATGTCATTTGTAATGTGGGTCGTGGCCCCAGAGTCAATCCACCACGTATTAGAAGGTACTTTAGCAAGATTTGATTCATAACAAACAAAAGAAAATTTCTTACCTTTCTTTTCGAACCAAGCCTGTCGCTTGCTGCAGTCTTTCTTCACATGTCCCTTCTTGCCACAAAAGTAGCACTTGACAGTGAAACCATTCTGAGCCTGATTTTCTTCCCCAGGTTCATTCTTTTTCTTTGGTGGATTTTTCTTTGATTTTACAAACTTACCCTTCTTTTTCTTTATAACTCCATGAGTTACAGCCAATGCAGTTTGACGTCCTTCCTCCCTCAACCTCACTTCCTCCTGAACACATATATTAGTCAGCTCATTCAAACTCCACTTATCTTTATTGGTGTTATAGTGAATTTTGAATGCGCCGAACTGTGATGGAAGTGAGTTGAGAATAAACTACACGAGGAAAGTTTCATCAACTTGCATTCCTAAAGTTTTAAGCTTTGCAGTTTTTTCGCCATATTGAGGATGTGATCCTAAACTCCTCGGTGGCCATTATATTTCATTGTTGTTAATTCAACCATAATAGTGCCAGCAAGTAGCTTGTCGATCTTCAACAGTCTTTAACCAAATTTTACTTTAAGCGTTAGGGTAACATCACTAAAAAGTTTTTTGGTCAATAACCAAGTAAGATCCCAGGAAGGTCGGTGGAGCCAATATAGCCTCCCTTCTAAGTCCAACCACCTTAGATAGCAAGCTATTTTTTTGACAGACCTTAAGAGGTATTAACATAAGATCTTATAGGTAACACGGAAAAAGGCATAAACAATATACATATTAAAGTTTTGAGAATTATGATGAACTATTGATATCACATAAGTCTTTCCTTTGGGCAAAACTTAAGTATATCTATTGTCCACTCATCAAGAATCACTTATGTAGGTCTAAAGTAATTTATGCAATTTTTCAGCTAGTCATGTTACCTTTGGGTATTCAATTCTAATCTGTCAAATTACATAAGTTACATTATCCTACCCAGTTTATAATTATTTGAAAGTGACTCTCCTTTGGGCTAGTCTCAATCTCCTAATTATAACTGCAATTGAGAATATTATCAACCTTAATGTTACCCTTTTAACAATTCTTTTATGTAGTTCTATATTCATAAGTT